TTTTGGCCCAACAGATAAAACTTAATTGATATTTATAGAAAAAAAAAACTAAAAAAATTGAAAACTGAAAATGTCCGTAAACGGCTCAAAAAGTGTCAAAATATTTTCAAAATTGTAGGGTGTATAGGAAATGCTAATATAAACATTCAGTGAAATTTTCATGTATCTACAGTAATTCGTTTTTTAATTACAACAAAAAAGGAAATTGCCACATGAGAAATCGAGTGAAAATCCAATGTTGTAAAAATTTGAATTTCAAACGCTCATAAAAATTTAATTTGACTTGCCGGTAGAAATTTTTTTATTGTTCAAGGTAGACAATCTTATGAGTAATCTTGTATTACATTTTCAAATCTTAGATTTGAAAAGAAAAATTTTTACGAATTCTTAACTCAAAATAATTTGCTAATTTTCGTGATTTTTCCATATTTTGTCAATTTTTGAACTTTAAATGCTTATAAAAAAAAATTGTGACTAAGGATTTTTAATATTTTTCATCTGCCTTTGAAACAACATATTAGGAGCCTTCTATTAAATTTTCAAGCTTTCGCAACCAACAAATAAAATTTTATTGATATTTTTAGAAAAAAAACTAAAAAAAAATGGAAAATGAAAATGTCCCTAAACAGTTCAAAATAAATCAAAATATTTTGAAAATGTTATCGTGTATAGAAAATGCAAATATAAACAACCAGTGAAAATTTCATGTATATACGTTCATTTGTTTTAGAGTTACACCAATAACCAAAATCGATTTTTTGGAAAATCAATTTTGCGTAAAAATTCCCGTTTTTCCTTAATTTTTATGTTGTTTTTCCCGGCGCTTGTGAAAACTACTGGGAAATTTAAATTTTGACCTCCCCAATGCACCAACGATATTCACTTTCCAATCGAACAAGATACTGAAGTCGAAAATCGAAGCATTATTTCGACTACTTATCGTGTACACAGGTACAAAAAAAATAAAAAAAATATAATAAAAAAAAAAACACACATCATTGTAAAATCAATACATTCATCGTTTCACTCAGAATCTAAAAATGAAAAACAAAATAAATTAACTTACAAATAAAAAAATTAATTCGTTAATTTAACGTTGATTAAAAAATAAATTTAGTAAATTAGTAGTTAAGTTAAAAATTATTATTATCACATCATAATCATTATTATTCGATTTCGATATATTTTAGGTTTTGAAGGTAAAATAAATAGTAATCACGGCTGAAAAAAAACAATCGAAACTGCAATCTTTTTTTTCAAAACCACCCTCAATAATGAATTCATTGTCAAATTTATTGAATGCAACTCAAACAGTTATAAGTTCCTCTAGTTCCTCATTAGTCATTACCATCAACTGCATCTGCATCTGGTACACCTATCACTCAGTTTACACCTTCGACTACAGATATTAATCGTACATCTTCCAGTTATAATATTTTTGACATTGCACATTACACAAATAAATTGTTAACGCAAAGTGAAATAGAAGAAATTTTGAGCAAAATTTGGGTCCCTGATATTAATTACAATTTTCCTATCAAAATATCAGTAGTCGGTAAACAACAAAAAGTTTTGAAGTTGAAATTTCAATATAAATGGGTAATTAACTTTCCCTGGTTGGCCTATTCAGAAGTAAACAATGGTGCGTATTGCAAATATTGTGTTGCTTTTACTAAAAATGAAGCCGGTGTTAATAACCAAAAATTGGGAGCATTTGTATTAAAAAAATATGATGATTGATTTTTTAAACCCCCCCCCCCAGAGCAAATTTGAATGTACGCCACTGCAAACAGCAATAATCATAATAATTTTATATAATAAACTGTGAAGGTTGTAAGCAATTAGCATGCGTTCGATGCGGTATAAGACATTTCAACAGTTATTTTAATTTTTAAAAGGGCGTCTGGATATCTTATATTCGGTATTGCTATCTTATTTTTCTGTAGATGTATACTTCGTTTTATCAGAATATTTTCATGATTTTTTTGAAAATGTTGACACCAAAAACGTATTTTTTGATATTAAGTGGTACCTTTTAACAAAATATCGTCGATGCATTATCATCATCGTACAATATTAATATTATCACGAGCCTCTCGAATCAAATTATATATTGTATACACCAGGACCTATATTATAGTATAAATATAATAGACTCTCGACAATAACTCGAGCAGAATTGTAGTCGATGGAATAATAATTATTCGTTTATTTACGAATAGTATAATATTATTATTATTCTGACGTGTAGGCAAAACAATAACGGTTAGATCAACACTGCAGTTAAGTTAAAACAATGAAGTAGTTGATGTATGGGTGTGCTGTGCATATGACACGGACGCGTTTTATACAAGTTGTGTGTTAACGTAATAATTAGCATAACAATATAATATTATGGACTTATTGCGAGGAGATGTGCGTGAGACGTAAGTGCAAAACGATATAATATTATTATGTCTAATACGGCCGAGTTTGGCGATATAACAATAATTATTTCGTAGGTACCTACCTGTAATATTAGTTCTCAAAGGCCCAAGCATAATAATAATAATATTGTGGTCGGCGGAAGTAACGTTATTATTCGTCTTGATCGATGCACAACGCGATTTTATGAACGCCAGACACGAGTTCGGTAAATTCGTATTCGATTAGGTTTTCCGGTAATAATAAAAAATAAAATACGAACCGAAATAATATTATTTATACTCGAAAAGTGCGTAGATTTCATTTTTATTTATGAGTACTATATTATTATTATTATTATTATTATGGGAAAAAATCGCTTTATACAATTTGCATAATTTTTCGGGCGTGATATTTCGAAAAAAAATCCGTACCTACGCTCGGTTATACTAATATTAAGTGTTGAAAATTCGAGGCGAGCGAAATGGATTTTTTCCCTCCCTCTCCGCTGACGAAATTATCTTTACCGGAACACACCTGTTCGTAAATTTCCAAAGGGTTGCGGCCGCGCGTAAATGCAAAAACTTACAATATTTTTTCAAAGGTAATTTTATAACTTTTTTTATCATCAAAGCCCCAACAGAATACAATTATAAATAATAATAATATAACGGTGGGTTGTCACTTGATGGGTGTCAGTAGTAGGTCGTCATTGTCATGTTAAGCTAGGAGGTAGTGAAGTGAGCAATGGTGGCAACATTTTTTATGTTTTCATTTAAATTTGTTTTTTACAAGTTCTATTTTTGTTTACATAACATACAAAATTATTTTTTCTTTTTTATTGGATAACCCGCGGCAACATAGGCCATTGGGTATGGGGATGGAACTGTGAGTTGTATATTGGGTATGTTGGTACACGTGTGTGTGTGTTGTGGCAGAATTTCTAATGGGGTATCCATAGGTTTTTTCCATGCCCCGGGTGTGGGATGGCGGCACTTGTTCTCCTCGGACACCGTGACTTGCCCGAAGAAAAATTCCGCCTGTGGCCGGAATCGAACCCAGGTGGGGTTAGTCCGCTCGGCCACTATTTTATAATATTTCATTTTGTTTAACTATATACTAGGTACAGGTACAAGGCTTATAGTAGTTCAGTAGGTATAATAATGTAAATTAGGCTTTCTAACATTAAGTAATAACATCACTGACTCAATATTAATAGTAGGTACCTACTGATTTTTTTCCGATGAGTATATTGAAATAAATTGCAATGGAAACGACTAAACCATACATATTTGGTTCCCGGGTGGTAAATTTGATGACTCGGCTCTAAAGTCTTTTCTGTACACAGACATAATATTTTCGGGAGAACTCGTCTAGACGATCCGACGAGTGTTGACGAAATTCTAAGTCGCAAAAACCTTTCTCGAGTGCGCGACAAGAGATTTTCACCGAAACGCGTTGTACTAAAATATTATATTACCATTAAATTTACGGAGAAACGTATGCGCTGGGACGACATGACAATATGTGTAGCCCGAATTTTCTTCTGTCGCCTTAAACGCGGCAGCGGCGTATAATAACAATAATAATATTATAATACTGCTGTTGTTCGGTTTTTTATTTTAGGCTTTTGTTCGTTCGTTACGAGCTCATAACTTATGCCACACCGCAATGGGCGGGAAATAATTTACAATACTATTATTAAAAACGTATTATGCGCGTAATCTGGGTTGATTTTACGTCACTTTGTGTGACGTTAAGCAGGACCTGCTCGCAGGATAGGCGAAGGACCTAAGAGACGAATATTCTCCATTATACCAATACCCGTTAGGTTATCTTATGTTATAGGTGCTATCGTAACCATGATTTTTATTATAAAAACGGATTTTTGCATAGTTTTTCATATTACTATTATCCGTTTGGCGGGGCACATACGTTGTAGAGGGTATATGGGTATCAGTTATTCTCGACCTGCGTGATTAGTAGGTATACTTAGGTACCAATATATTATTACTATAACTACCGACTACCGAGATAGCATTTCCAATAGTCCTACTTGAGTTGCAAACGGCGCACCTAATAAATATTTTGTATTTTAATTAGTATTATCACGGAAACATCGTGAAGCATCCTTCAAATAAGAGATTTAAAGATCAAAGCAATTATTTAATACCCCGCTCAAAAAAACAAGAGAATTTAATCTTTACAATAGGCCGTTGTTCAATCATCGATTTTAATTTATATATTAAAATAGGACATAGGTATTCAAGTATGATTATAATTTTGTTTTGCAAAGAGGCTCAAGACGGATCTCATCGTTGTAGGAAAGCTATTTTGATAATAGAATTGAGAATAAATAGTTGGAAAACACACAATTTTAGTTCGCAGCCTAAAATATCATGAATGTGCACTTCGATATTACAATATTATATCTTTCGACTTTTGTGATATTAAAATTCATAACGTTGTACGAACGATGAAATTACGGGCGCGTGGCTATATAATAATATAATGGAACTACGATGCGCGTGTGTGGTTAAATCGATTTTTTCACAGACACATTATCGCGCATTTAATATGTATTCTCGGTTTTCCAGTCTGCTGGTCACGCGAACCACGTCGGAAGTTTAAAGCCTTCGGCGTCGTCGTTGGTCGGAGATACCATGTCCTCGGTGAGTAATTTTGACGTCGTGGAGACGTCGACGACGAAAACGAAAATAATAACAATAATAATAATAATATGCTACACACGACAATATTATTAGTTATTACTATACAATGTAACGTATGTATATATTGTTATATAATATTATTATTATGTGGAGCGGCTCCACCGTAAAGTTTTCCCTTTTTCCGAGAAGCACAAGGAAAGAGGGAAATCAACGGTGAGGCCACCACTGCTGACATATTATATACAGGTACCTGCTGTCATAGGCATGCGCATGTGTGCAGCAAAAGATTCACCTTTGATGCGTCTGCAAAATTGATTTCGGGCACCATTGTAGCAAGTTATAATAATATAAAAAAGTTGGTCACAGTCAGAAAAATTAACTATTCAATATAAGTATAGATAAAAAATGGATCTTAGCATATTCGGTAATTTATACTTTGCACAATATTATACCTAGTTTACAACAAAAATGAGTCAAAATTACTAATTATATTATTATAGGCACTGTAATAACACACCCGACATGTGTATCATATTATACAATAAATTGTTAATAATTTTGGTTGTTCAAAAGTGATTTGTCCGATTGTTAAAAAAAAATGGGGTGCATTATTCTGTACAATATGATTGTAATATAATCCATGATTAAAGTCTGCGCACGCCTCTCACGGTAGGCAGGTACCTATATAAAATGTGGAAGTCTGCAGATGAAACATTTTTACTTTTGATTTTTCGAGTACTTTTGCAGTCTACAACTGCAATGTAATAATGTATATATATATTATATTATATTATACACATATGTCGTGAAGACGGTAAGCTATATAACTGTAATCCCTAAGCGGTGTATATACCTAATATTGGCACGTGTGTGTATATATGTATTATATCACACATATAGACGAACGACGTTCCGTTCGACTGGTCTTCCGATTACGAGATGGCTGTCGTCTACATCACGTCCGCTTGGACCGAATTCGGCGATGTGCGTTCGTCCGACGCACCCCTGGGCATTATTGCCGAAAACGGATTTCTCAATTACTGCGTTAGGTTCAAGACCAAGTTGGCCGCTTGGGCTAAGTCCGTAAGTATATATATCACATACGGGCACACTAGCACAGTACATATGATATATACTGTGCAGACTTGCGGATTTGACAGTGTGGGCTCGCTATATATTATATAACACCCGATTACGGCTCGTACAATCCTTTCCCACCACTATCGCGCGCCGCCAATACGTCTCATTTCCGAAATCGCGTACTTAAATAATAAAATAAGATATATTATATATAATTTCAATATATATAACATATATATATGGGTTACTCGTTTAAGAACTCTGGACAAAAAAAATATATATCCCCAGTGTATGTAGAGGTGGTAATCCGGTAGCTGCTCCACATGGCCGCCGCCGCCGTCAATACTGCACAATAATTCGATTTTCGTCATGTCGTTTGACGTCACCACCGACTCGCTAGTCGCTACCAGCGACTGGAGAATAGAACCGCGGTAAGTCGCACGAAATGACGAACAATAATATTATATTATCACGTCTCGGCCAACCAGTGGTAGGGGAGGGAAGATGAAATGGAAATACACTTGAGGACCAAAACACATATGTAATATCGTGTGATAGACGTCTTCAATATATTATTATGTTATTGAACACATAATTGGTTCAATACTAAATACTAATAAAAACCCTGCGTTTTGGTGATGATATAAAATGGAAAACAAAAGATATCAAGTTTTAAGTTACATCGATTTACAGTTTTTTTTTTTTTATTGTTTTGTGTTTTTATTTCGTGATGATGGAAGACAATGATTTGAGAGACAAATTTATTTTAACCTTGTAAATATATAAAATATATAATAATATGTACCTGTTGCTGGGGGGCTGATCGAAAATGTGTGTCAGGCTATGTGGAAAATATGTCAGATTCACAACGGAAAATGTCATAATATATTAATAATGATAATAATAATATAGCGATAACAGTATTATAATTAATAAGCAATCTAATAATACTATTCGGTAATACGCGGTATACACCAGCTTTCTGGTTTATTAACCCACTTTCGAGTACCTACGCGGTATACCGCGTATAGTGTAATATTATTATTATACTATGGTAGATAGTTGTTGGTATATGGACAAATTTTCAAAAGCAAAACTTGACAAAGTTTCGATGGAATCCAGGGTAATTTTCAAGGAATTCGTGAGAAAAATCAAAATTCGTTCCGTGCGCGAGATCGAAACACGTAGTATGTATCTTAACTATATTATATTACAGTTAACCACTGAGCTTGCTCGTGGCACGTATCGATATTGCGTAGGTTCCGTTTTCTGTCGTAGGTAATGATTTTTCAATGAAAACTTTACAATTTTACTTAGGACGTATAATAGGTAACTTCTAAAAATACTTTTACAATCAAAAATATTATAATTGTTCCCCGGCGATAACTCACCGGCTGAAATGAAAACGTAACAGTGACTTATATAATATAATAGTTAGTAGGTACATAAAAATAAAGCGTTACGTTTTTTATGCGAGTATATTGCAAACGGCCATTCACCTACCCTAGTAAATCCATAGGATTTACGCTTTTGTAAATAAAAATACCTTGTAAATAACTTATCGTGCACGTTGCACAGATTGTTTTTTTTGATTAATAATATTAAAAAAAAAAAATAAAAATATGTGTCTGGTGTATAAATATTGAATACTGAACAAACGGTTTTTTATTTTTTATAGACAAATATAAGTATTTAAAATTTAGTCGAGCGGAGTGGCGTGGAACACAGCTCTCGGCGAAGGAGTGTACCCTTAGAGGAGCTGTAGTCTGTATTATACCCCAAGTGTATATTATATGCACTTTGCTGTTTATAACTATAATATAAAAACTGGATGTTTTTTTTTTTTAATCACAAAAATTCACCCAGAAAATCAGTGCGTATTATATTATAGTTTAATATCATATCGTAATTTAAATGTATACTGAACAAGAGAGGAAAAAAGGTGTGGGGAAAAATAAAACGATACCTATACCAAAATGGCCACGGTAGACCTCAGCTCAAACTCTGCTCAGGGTGGTGGTGGGAGGGCACGCGTTATTTTACGAACGTCTCAGCCGAAACGACTGCGTCGGGGGGTGTAAGGTCGGCCTCGAAATGTCTAAGTTTCGAAAGCCTTTTCGCCGCCGTTAGCTAGTTATAACACAACCGTGGTCGGAGCGTCGCGTGGCGCGGACACCGACCGAAAGGATTAATCACTCGTGTGCGAGACTTTTAAAAGCGCACAGACGTGTTCCATATTATTATTATTATTATAATGGTAGTTTTACGCAGTAGAACCGCTGGCGCGTTATCCGATGAAAACTTTGAACAGACGGTGTTTTTCTTTTCTTTACCAAGGCGTCGGCGGTGGCGGAAACGACGTTAGCATGTGAGGCAGCTAAGCGGGTTTAGGTATCACAATATGGGTATACAATTATTATTCATAGATATAATATACCTACGCGTGTTTATTATAATATCTAACTCATCTCTGCATGCCGACTTCTAAAATGCAGTTTGGTCGACCCCGCCACGCAGTCGCCCGTCCCTGAGTGCGAATAATAGATCGAAACGAACGATATTAATTTAGAGTTTATACATAAATAATAATAATATGTATACGAGTATATTATATAATATTATCGTGGTGTTCGGTTTTCATCCAACTGTATAATATAATAATATTACAACCGCTGTTGCCGGGTGGTTACGATGTGTGCCATAATCGATATCACATTGTTGTTTGTTTGACACGACGTCGCGACGAAACTGCAGTGCGCCGGATGCACATTTTTCAAAAATATATTACTACATTCTTTTGGAAAAACTTTGTGTTTTCTACCGTATAAACGCGCTAAAATACTTACAAAATGTCATGTAAGTTTCCGTGAAGTCAAAAAATATCCAAATAGCAACAATATCGAATATTTTATTTACACGTTAAAAAAGACAATAGTGTATATAACAATAATATATTCCCTCATTGTCGTCCTTACAGTAGCAACAAAATCTTATTATATACATCCTATCTGCATGTGGTTTATTTGAGGGGGGATGGGGCGGATCCTTATGGTATTGATTATGATTTGTATCTACAATCTATATTATAATATTATTACCTATACAGGTAACAATGTTTTTAAATTAAAATCGTTAAATAAATATTATTGAATGAAAATTAAAAAAAAAATAACAAAAATCGATAAATTTGGGGCAGTAAACAATTGTTTTTTCCTCACGCCTTCCACCACAGGTCGAGCTTCATACATTATACGCCTCTGCACGTCTCCGTGGGGTGTATCCAACGTCATCGTGACCTCGTGTGCTCTGATAATACGTCATTAATATAATAGTTATTGGTTTAGAGAGTGTACCCCCCCCCCTCATCCATATAATATCTGCGAGTTCACAGCTATACTATTGATACGACGTTAAGTTTGTGAATATTATACTCAAACGATATTTATATATTATATATAGTTACAAGACAGGCCCGACGTGAGTGAAACGGTGAAAAAAGCTGTTTCCAGCTGGTATACAGCCATCGACACACTGTCGCAGGACAATTGGAATCTTCCCGACGCCCTCACTTTGGAGTCGTTTAGAAAACAATTCATGACCGCGTACAAGCACTTGGTGCTCAACGGTGCCGAAATTTACGAAAAATCGGATTCCGAAATCGTGAAACGGGACGTGGACGGATTCACGAGAGACGTTGCCGATATGATGATCTGGATACTCAAAGGAATTTCGGTAAAATCCCAGTGGACCATCATCTATGTGTGATGACACGACGTGTCTGAAGGTTATATAAAAAAGAACGCGTTATATGTAATTTAGATTTTGTGTTGCAGAAACAAGTCCGAAGCATTCCCGAGAAACGCGACACGGAATATTAACAGTCCATAATTTATGCAGTGTGCTAAGTGCGTCAGTTTCACTTCTGTGCTCTATAAGTGTGTAACGAGAAAATATTTTACATTTTATTATATGTACCTTTTATGGTATATTTACTTTGAATTTTTCAAGAGCATTGCTGCGTATTCGTATATTATGTTCAACTAAATATATTTATAATATAGTAGATAAGCCAATAAACTTATAAAATACCAACGATGGAAACTGATTTGTAAGATTAAATATTGATAAATAATGAAAATATAATATGACTTATGTACTTTTACTATAACACTATTTATTGTATTTGATACATTAATATTGTAAAAGTCTTTAGGAATTTCTGTCGGCATTTTTTTAAATTTACTGTTTATAAAAAAGTTGTTCTAAAATTTTTTTTGTTATACGAAATAATCTAGTATAGGTACGTATATTAAACGAAAAAATAGTTACAATAATTGTTACATACAATTTTACTTATTATTATTATTTCATAACACGCATAAGCATAACAAGCATATTAATGCTTTATTATTTGTGATCTATACTGATGACTGATCAGTATATTATATTATTAATATTTAATATAATATAATATTTAAACTTGATGTCAAAACTTATCACAAAATATGACTTGCCGATATCGATTTTAATAAACTATAATAAAATATGATTATATTAGGCATGACAAATTAGATAGGTATCATCAAAGGGTTTTGATAATTAACCTTCGCTCTTTACTTCACCTTTATCGTAGATCTCCACTTCGTATTGGCTACCCGTCAATCATATACATACATATTTAACATAGAACAAAATCAACCAATGAGAAGTGGAGAACTACGACATGGAACGGATGTGAAGGAGATGCGCATACTGCACAAAACTAGTACAACTTTACTGTGATGATACCTAGGTATCTAATTTGTCATGATTTTAGGTACCTATACCAACATATTAACATAATTATTTTGATTTGTAAACTATACGCATTATTATGTTTAGACCACCACTGAACAAGTTTTACTGTTAAATTTAATATTCAATGTGTCTTAGTGATCTTTTATTAAATCCTACAATACCAACTCCTTACTTCTCGGTTAGTAAAATTTGTCATGTACAGAGATTTCTTTTCATTGTATTTACAATATCATGATCATTTTTTAAAATATGTTTTTGTCAGTGTTTCGTTTTTTTTTTTAATGGCTCGTCGTACAACAATATGTCTAAAATATTCTTTGTGAGAAAAATCATATTTTTTAATATAGTTATCTCTCTTATAATTTAATAAAAATATCGTTTATAGTTTAATATGATATTATATTGCGTATTATACTATTGCACGAGACTTAATCATTTCTATTTTCGCTGCTGATAAAAAATTTAAATACAATAATATTTTAATATCAAAAAACCATCAACAATAGGTCAGTATATTATTATAAATAAATATCGCCCAACAGTAATTACATAATAATATATGCAGTGGCGGATTTAGCGTCAGGCAAAGTAGGCAGTTGCCTAGGGCGGCAAATTTTTAGGGGCGGCAATTTTAGGTCAATATTTTATTGAGAATACTCTAAGTTTCTTTTTGATTTTCTAATGTACGGTGATTACTCTGAAGGATGGAAAAAAAATGTTTAATATTGAAGTATAATAATATTCTTGTTAATATAATTTCTTCTTTATTTTATAATACAAAACAATAAACGTCCAAGTAAATTATCTAACGACTGCCGGAACGTAGATCTATTATCTAAATACTAAACATGGATAACATATTTCGTTAATTTGTTTTTTTGCTAAGTCGTAATAATTATTAATAAGTTCGTTTGATCGCACGGCGTACACAGTACACACACTACACAGTACACACACTACACGCATAATACATACAGAAATGATATATTTAATACGAATAAGGATTAAGTTTGACGATCGATTCGTATTGGAACGATAGTCTAATTATAAACCAGTTACTGTGAATATTTTTATATAATATACTCGTACGTACTATGCATTATGTGTACAAAAATAAAACTTTTTCTATCCAAAAGATAAAATTATGTAATAATTGTTTATTTTTCTTCGGAACTCTGAGTCTATGAAATAGAGGGCGGCCGAGTAAAAAATAGGTTTATTCTGATTAGACATTCGATTATTTTCAACACAACATTCAAGGCGGATAGACTTCATATTTGGTTATTAGTTTACTACTTAAATTACTGGTAAATAAACACTATATTTTATAAACACATTTTATTAGAACAGTTTATTAACATAACTGCCATTAATTATTGTTTAGTTGAGTTCATCAGTCTTTATGATTTTTTTTTTTAGTACTTATGTTAAATGAGTATTTAAAAATTCGTTTTCTCGTTGATAAGTTTAATGGGGCGGCAAAAAAAAAATTGCCTAGGGGCGGCAATTGTGTAAATCCGTCTCTGAATATATGTGACAACTTTCAAAAAAAAATTAACGTATACACTATAATCACCGTACGGACCTAATAAACAATAATAATATAATAATAATAATAATGCCTACCTCAACTTTAGAATCTCAATGTCGTTGTATGTGCTAAGTATTATCGTATAATGTATATAATCGAACAATATGAGTTTATGTATTTTCAAAGTGCTGAATCGATGCCGTAGTATTTCAATTCTATTTGTATTGTAATTATTATTGCCCGTCCACATAATATATTTTATAATATTTTACAGTGCACAGTATTGAATGTGTTTACGATAAATCGGGTATACGCATTATTCGCTGTTCATAGAAACAGTCGACGATGATAATACATAATATATAATGTTAAACATAGGTAACGCGTCTAATACTATAATATAACTTTGGCCGTATTATTGCGGTCCGTTGATAATAAATAAATATGGCGTAAGATGCTAGTGTCGACAAAACCATATTATATTTTGCGTAGATATTAACTTTTGTCAGCGCACAAGTCCGGTTCTCGTACCGATGTATATTGTATTATATGACATTATGATAAATATTATGATCTTAACGTGTTGTATAGTGGATCGATTTATATAGGATGACGGACAGATACAGAGCCAAAAAATAAATAAATAAAACAAAGACTTCTGCAGAGGCGCACCGCCATCACAATATTATAAAAACTTACTCTCGGTCGTACTTAAGCTGTAAACGTACGCTAACAGTCCACTTGTTTTTAATATATAATATTCAAAATATCCGAACGGTTTTGCCACCGCCGCGTTCAAAACGTCGATATAATCGCATAATAATGGGTGTCGTAGTTGTATTATAATTTGTTTTATGAAAATATATAACATCATGGTCAACACTGCTCAAGATACAATATTATAATAGTGTTCAATGCAACCAGCATGGCTCGGTGGTTGTCGTCGATCGGACGTCTGTGGTATCGCCGCAAGTTTTTTGCAGATATTATTAAAAGATATCGTTGTAAAAGTGTAAAAAAAAATCAATATTACACAAACGCACGGAACACCCCTGTGGGTGGATATACACCCACATCATCGCCACGTGCGCATCAGACCTACGCGTGTTTCGATTATTATTTATACTTCCGATGCCGACGACGGGGTCATTCCCGGTACATCGTCTGTCGTATCCCATACAGACATTCATGATCCTCGTCGTCCGTCGCATGAGCACTACGAACATATTATTATTATGTTATGCACTCTCATTATGCCTCTCGTGATAATATATTATATCGGAGATTCGGAAGACGAGAACTGAGAAGCTCGTGCAGTCTCTCTCGATTTTGCGTGACTCGCGTGTCACTATAATTATACGTCTCGCATCGTCACGATCCACATTGTTATTGATAAAAAAAATTTGAAACAAATAATATTAACCGATCGTCGGTCGACAGTCGGTGGCCATCAGAGTAGCGTTTTGATTTTCAAAACCCTTTATACGATATGCGGCTGATTTCGAGTAACTGAGGAAGAGTGACGACAATAATAAATATGTACAGCGTCCCATAAGGGTCTGCAACGATTATGTACGCTTGACGACATTAAATTATTATGATCATAAATATTATGACATGGGTACTCGATCGAATAATTATTAATGCGTTATATTTCGTCGATAACTGCACTACGTAGTTCACTTGTTGTTGACATTTCATGTTATTAAATTCATCGTATTAACTATTACTATAATATTGACTTCCCCCCTAAAGTACCAACCAAGTCTTGCAATTCGATACCAGAAACCAACGCAAAGTTGAAAAGAAAGCATTTGTACTGCCCTAAAAGTTTATAAAAAAAACGCTCTTCGTTGTAAAATCAGTACACGTATCTTTCCGTGGCACAGAATCTAAGAAGGAGTTGGTAAAGCACCACGTGAAGCTCATTAAATCGTATGAATAATCTATGAATATTAAAATATACCTAGCCACTTGAACATGTCGAAAAATCACAATACAATTAAATTCATTAGGCATCAAAAGGAATACACGATGATAGTGTGAGCGTGCTAGGTGGATCACCACATCATGCGTATAATATTATTCATAGTTTCGATGGAAATGTCCGCCGCTAGAGAGTTTTTCATAATATACCAATATATTATGAAATTTATATAGGTACCCGTCGACTGCAGATGGAATGGAACGCGTGTCTGCGAGTTTAGATATTTGGATTTATATTATTTCCATACGGCAATCGTCTCGAGTGGAAAAACTTTTGCAATTTTTTTTTAGTTTTTCCCGGCGCTTTGGAATTTTGACCTCTCGAATGCATCAACTAGATTCATTTTATCATCGAACAAGATACTGAAGAAGAAAATCGAAGAATTATTTTGACTTCTTATCGTATATACAGATGAGAATAAAAAAAAACACGCATCTTTTTAAAATCAATTTACATTCATCGCTCCGCCCAGGTTCTAAAATGTTATATCATAAATGTAGAGCGAGAGTTAATAAATTATAAATACAAAAAAAAAAAACAATTTTTAAATATCGATTAGAGCA